GGGGCTCGATCCCAGGACCCTGGGATCATGACCTGAGCCGACGGCAGACTCTCAACTGACTGAGCCACCCAGGCGCACCTATACTAAACTTCTTAAACTAAAGTTTAAGAAGCACTGATCTGGGATTTAGAAATTCCTAGTTTAGCTGTGTGTACAGAAAGAAGAGAAGATAGAGTTTTCCTAGACCAGTGGTTCTCAAACCTGACAAGCATCAGCACTCCCTGAAGGGCTGTGTTAAAATAGTTAAAAGTTAAAATAGACCACTGGGTCCCATCCCACAGTTCTGATTGATGAGATCTAGGGTAAGACCTCGGAATTTTCTAACAAGTTCTCAGGCGATGCTGAAGCTGCTGGTTCAGGGACACACTTTGGGAACCACTGCCTTAGGTGTACCTTTCAGCAGGCTCTAGGACTTAGGAAGATCTCCTTGGCTTTGAGAACCTTTGAGAAGAACCTGTCTGGCTTTCCTCAGGTAGTTTGACTTAGAAGAGCATATGCAAGCTCTGGAATCTGAAGACCAGCGGTTAGTTCTGGATTTGCCACATACTTGCAAGTCCCTTGAACTCTCTCTGGCCTTTGTTTTCTTCATCTGATAATAAGGATAATAATAACCATCCCAACACATCATCATGAGGATAGGAAAAGGCACTTAATGATCTCTTGAATACAAACAAATGTAAGCTGTCACTAATTGACAAGGGGCAGCAAGGGCTTCTTTAAAAAAAAAAAAAAAAAAAATCTTCCCAGTCAGAGGCTTTGGGAAATGATTTCATGTTGCTCTTTTAATGGTGGGTTCTCTCCTGAGATGTTTTGCTTTCCTCTGCTTTATTTATTGCCATTTGGGGAAATTACCATACTGCTGAAAATGCTTTTTGAAAAAAAAAAAAAAGATATGTGTTATTTTCAAGGACTGTTGCTGAATATGATTTTTGTTTTGTTTTTTGATATATCTGAGCATTAAGTGGCAGTGATTCACTCATTACGGTCAGATCTGTTTCTGGCGTGGTAATATTAGCCCTCCAAAGCTGGGCTCCCCAGCGTTCTGTCAGGATATTTATAACCCACTGGAGCTGCTCATCAGTGCCATTGTCTTGCTGCGCGAGCTTCTCTGCATTCCTTCTTCCAGCTCTCAGAGGTCTTGTTTTGCTATCGTCTTAGTAATGCCTTGCCCATGAAGGCGTCACACACTATTCTTTCTTCATACCCACAGACTTCTGTGAAACATTTGGGCTCTTTGGCCAGGAAGTCTCTGCTGAATTAGAGACACTAATATATCACCGTGTAGCATGGGGAAAAGCACAGAGCCTTTAGAGTTAGACCCACTTCCGTCTGGTCTAGCCTCCGTCGCTTATTACACTGGTTCTCCAACTCATTTGCACATTGGACTTAGCGGGGAAAATTTAAAAACAGTATTTATGCTGGATCCCACCCTAGAGATTCTGATGTCATTGCTTTGGAGTGGCCTTGGGCATTTATCTGGACTTTTAAAACTCCTCGAGTGGTCCTACCAAGTTGGAGATGCACTGACTATGTGGTCATGAGGAGTTACTTAATGGTTCTGGGCCTCAAGTTTCTTTATATGTGAAACGGGCACAGTAACCCCTCTCCTGTAGTGGGGGTGCCCACCCTTCTCCCACCCCAGCATACTTGCACCGCACTGCCTCTTCCGTCACCCACCGTCACCCACTGTCACCCACCGTCAATCACCACTGTCAGCCCCATCCTAACAACTTCCCCAGGGAGTCTGGTTTATCACTGTGCCCTTGAGGGAATACCTTTTGAATTCCTGGAAGTGTATCTGCTGGCCATGGACCGTCTTCTAATCTGCATGTGTGGCTCCACCACAGCTCTCAAACCTAGGAAGCCATATTTTAAGGTTGAAGAACATACAGACGTTGCATTAGGGTCAGGCTCGCCTCCTTTGACTCTCTAGACACTGGGCCCTGATAGCTACCTGCATTGTCGTCTCTGTGGCCGTACTTTATGCCTATCTCTGTAAAGGGATGACCCCGCTCACCATCTTCTGCAATACACAAGCTATTCCTTTTTTTTTTTTTTTTAAGATTTTATTTATTAAAGAGAGATAGATAGTGAGCATGAGTGGGGGGAGGGTCAGAGGGAGAAGCAGACTCCCTGCTGAGCAGGGAGCCCGATG